AAGCGACACCATGCAGATGCTCTGCGCAACCCGCGGGCTAAACCTGTGGATCAAAACAGACGCATTTGACAGATCCTTCCGTTGCATTAACTGCCGCCAAACTCTGCCCGCGCACAAGAAGATGAACGGGAGTCTGGTGGCCGGTCTTCATATGTAAGGACTACGACGTACAGTAGTCGGGGAAAACGGGGGTTTTAGGAAGATGGTATACACACTCGAACCACGATGACACCATACCATACACGGCAAACACATGATGGAAGTCGCCGGTCCCGAAGCTTTTAAAATTATCAGCAGGTATCTAATGGATTATTTGTGTAATTCCACTTCTAATTACTGAATCGATGATCGAAGCATTTAAAATCAATATTCGAACTGATATCCAATTGTGACTAAATGATCATCCAAAAATCGAATCGTGATGGTTCTTACACAATACCCAGGCCCTACTCGGATGTAGGGGATACACACCTAAGTTAAGGCTGCATCGCACATTCAGTGTTACATTTTCCTGAATTATATGGCTGTTTTAACTCGTTGAAATAAGATGCAGAATGTCTTCTGTGGTTGTTTACCAATGCGACCAATCAGAGAGAAGTATGGGGTGGGTCGTTGCTGAATGCTTGACCAATTTTTATATATTATATAAATTATATATATATATCTTATATATTATATATATTATATATATATATATATATATATAAAAATCTCTATAACATCAATGATGAAGTATTGAGTCATATTGTGAAATGTGAGATTATCACTATTAACCAGCTCTGAATGATTGTAAAACCCTCACTGATTCAGCTAATTTGACAGTAGAAGAGAATATTACTATAACAACATAGATTATTTTCAGATGTGTCACTAGTCTTGGCCTAAATATTTGTTTACACTCCTGTTTTTATTAAACATACTTTGTTTCTATGTTTTCCAGGGCAATCAAGGCGTTCCAGGAGGTGCTTTACATTGACCCCGGTTTCTCAAGAGCTAAAGAGATTCACCTG